TATATATATATATGTGTGTGTATATATAGCGAACAGCATTTACTGATTTGCGTAGCGGAAAATGAGGCGCACTGTAGATCAGTTTCTAATGATTCATCGCGGATTTGCTTTCGGGTGATTATATGAAATCGGTAAGAAACCTATGGAGCAGTTTACTACTAAGAGGACTGCCGTATTTGCTCCGATATTCCCGCTCGCGTTATAGGCTATGCTAGAAGACTGTAAGGTTCATCAGGACCGTATCCTCTGGAGGGGAGGGAAGGGGAAAGGTAACAGGGACAGCTGCCCGCTAGATAAAAAATTTAATGAGAAAAAAAATAGAAAATGTATAGAAAATAGAGAAAATGTATAGAAAATAAAAAATGAATTAGAAAAGAAAAATAGAAAGAAAAGAAAAGAAAAGAAATAGAGAGAAAGATGAAACACTGATATAATACTTGGTTCTAAAATAAGTGTCGATCGTCACATAGTCATCACGTGAAATTCCTGGCTCTCACTTACCCCCATCAGTCTATGCATGTGGACTGAGACTCTCTGCGCCTCGTACTCATCAATCCCCAACTGAATCACGAAATTTTGCCACTCCTCAACCCCACCTCCAGGGCTGTGCTCAGGCTACGGCCTGGATCTCATAACTTACCTGTTGTCCCCGAAGCTGTTTCCACGGTGTCCAAAATGGCGGACAAGTGTGACAGATTGCTGCTCTTGAGGTGAGTGTCTTCAACAACAATGCTGCCGGATTCCATACCCTGAAATTATGAAATAGCAGAGCATTCCTGTCTGACCAGCGTTATGAGCGCAGTGCTCGATTCCGTGACATTTTTTTTAGCGTGAAAAAATATCGGCAATAACGCTGTGTAAATGAGTGAAAGTGGTACTTTCTTAGCATGAATAGAAATTTTGCACTCCATCCGTCAAGTGTTCTCATTCGATGCCAATATTGGGCAGATATTGCAGTAATTAACCTCCTATCTTCACTGGCATGATTCACATACTTCTCTCGCCATTCTCGTTGTTGCGATAAAACGTTGTAAAAACCAATGCTTGTCGACGAAGTGCGGCAAAGTTGACGTTTTGTCATGCACGCTTTAACAACGGGTCTAGCTTGCCCGACGTGGAAACAATCTCTGAGGGGCGTAGTCAGGGAGAGAACTGCATGGTAAAAAGGTGGAAGATGGGGGCTGCATTGTGATACGGGGTGGGAGGGAGGCTGCATTGTGATACGGGGTGGGAGGGAGGCTGCATTGTGATACGGGGTGGGAGGGAGAGGGAGGCTGCATTGTGATAGGGTGGGAATGGCTGCATTGTGATACGCCGGGTGGGAGGGAGGCCTGCATTGTGATACCGCGGTGGGAGGGAGGCTGCATGATGATTGAAGGGGTGGGTAGGGAGGGCGCTGCATGGTGATAGCGGGGTGGGAGGGAGGCTGTAATTTGTGATAGGGGGTGGGAGGGCGGCTGCAATGGTGATAAGGAGGTGGGAGGGAGCTGCCTGGTGATACGGGTGGGAGGGAGGCGAACTGTATTGTGATACGGTGGGAGGGAGGCTGCCATTGTGATGACGGGTGGGAGGCTGCGATTGTTGATACTGGGGTGTGGAGGGAGCTGCATTGTGATACCGAGGTGGGAGGGAGGCTGGCATTGTGGTACGGGTGGGAGGGAGACTGCGTGGTGATAAGGTGGGAGGGAGGCTTGAATTATGATACGAGGGTCGGGAGAGTGGCTGGCATAGTGATACGGGGTGGGAGGCGAGACTTGGCATCTGTAGATACGGTGGAGGGGAGGCTAAATTGATAATAAGGTAGCTGCGGAAGGCCTGCATGGTAATAATTATAAAGATAAAGATGAGAGGGAGACTGCATGGCAACAAGGTAGTCGGGACGCTATACACGGTGATAAGGGGTGAGGATGGAGGGCTAAATGACGCCGGCCACGACGCTCCCGCTACAGCTACAATTATCCGACTGACTGAGATCGCGTGAATCTCCAGCATCTATCATCCGCATCCTCCAGCATCCTCGCGCAGACCTCTCCGCCGTGTCGGGCGAGCGCAACGCGACTATGAGCATCACGTCTGCATCCGACGCAAACGCAACATCGTTAGACGCGCTGCGAATCAGCGAGTCTTGTTTCCGCGATTAATTGGCCGCCGGACGACGACAAATGGGCACGAGGGTTTCATCCTCAGACCAGCGAGTCCGATGTTGCTCGAGCTTCTCGCGCAACACAGCACTCGATAAACAGACCGCTCGCAGTTTAATCCGGTGACGTATATGCGTAGTCTAAGTCCGCTATAGATCTTCTCGATTTGCCAAAATCGAGATGCTTGATGGATTCGCCGGCAACAGCGGAAAGGTCAAGGCAGCTGGCATGATCGTAAGGAAATTAAAGTCCGTAGAAGATCACCTGCTCGGAGCGTGGCGAGAATCGAGGCACAGAAGCTAAAGATGATAGTATGCGTAAAGTGGCTTCGGCGTAGCGGACTGTTGCGGGGAAAATTGGGCACATTTTGATAGGCCATATGCTCCGGGATTGTGACGGGGGGTCTCAAACCCGGTATACAACAGTCACGATCTTCTTCTCGTGAATTATAGGTTACAGAGAGAGCGCAAAACCGTTTCTTTAAGTGAGTGTCCACAACGACGCTTATGACGAACGACTGTCGACGGCGTACGATGGACGACGAATGTCGACGCGACTAATCATGATGATGACGATGTCGACGGCGACGCAATAGGCGACGCGACTATTATGATGACGATGAACCCGTTGATGACGTGAGCTGATTTACGCGCCGCAGTCACGCTTTCATGTATCAGGAGTCTATCAATAGAGCTATTTGATACTCAGCGGCCGTCATATCAATATTGATAGACTCCTGACCTATTGATGTGACTCATGATGTTATTTGAGCTCCACTGACGTTAAAGCTGGTATCATGCATTAGCTTATGATAAGCCTAA